TATGATATAAACAGCCACAAGAGAAGGAACCAATATCATTGAATGAGAAAAGAACCAGCAAGCAAAAAACACAGATCCATGGCAGACCAGACATTAAAAACTATGTATGGGAAACAAGTTTTCCAATGAAGTGGCCAGCTTCATACGAATATTCAGAATAGCAGTGGAAGTCGACAAGAATAGAGGAGCGAGTCCAGAAGGGAAATAGACCATCACATGACCAGGATAGTTATCAACCTCAGAGACTCTTAAAGGTAAATAGGACTGTCATTTTATTTGACATTGGACAGCAGATGTGATTGCTAGAAGCTCTCTCCACTAGAGATTCAAAACTCTCAGCTTAAATACACTCAAAGCTAATTTGCATTCTGGTGAGGAATTACAATCTCAATTATACCCTATTTCAAAATTTGTATCTAATGTTCAAGACTTAAATTGTATTTAACTTTGTAAGTGTTGACTGGAAAACATAACATTATGTTACTTATCTGCCATAGAGAGATTTCCTGGAGAAGCACATCTCTGACTGCTACAAAAATCAAAGTTAAAAGAAAATTTACCTTACTTCTTCAAATATCAATTTAATTTATGCATGTGTAAAAAGTAGCTAGTACATTTTTATTTTGCCGCCCAGATGATATAGCGGTTAAGGAAGCCAGACTGTGATACCAACGGGCCCGGGATCGAATCCCGGATAAGGCATGGATGTAAAATTGTTTTTCTCTTCATAGGAGGTAGCAGTGGTTGTCTGTTAAGCACCTACACAATAAAATGGCCACCACTTTTGGCCTTAGTAGTGGCCAATGCCATTATAGGCAAGTGCCTGCTATTGGGGGGGGGAATTATTTTTATCTTAAGCAAAGAATCTTTCCATGTTAGACAATGCTCAGAAACAGACTACTCATTAGACTGGGATAGGGTTTACCCAGGAGCTGAAGAGAATTGAACTTTGTTCACAAAGCCAAAGGATCTCAAGCTATGTTTAATTCAAGAAAGAAGCTTTTCTGTTGATATACTCATTTACATTTAAGAATATTTTCTTTGTGTGTTAAACACAATTGTATTACTACAGTCCAAAAGACTGTAATGACTAGAAAATTTTGGCATGAATGTAAATAAAATAATAGCAATTGCTGTACATTTCTAAGAAACTTTTAAACTGGCTAATCTTTTGAATATGGCCAGTATGCTGAATGAAGCTTAATATCTTGAATGCATGAACATACATGTTAAAAACGAATGAATTATGAAAGCAAAATGTGCTCTTAGTAGTGTGTACTTTAAATGAAAAATAAAATTTTCCATATTGAAAAATGAGGTTAGTTAAATGGCATGCTTTCTAGTCAACGCTTAAATGAAATTTAAATCTTGAACATTAGATACAAAATTTGAAGTAGGGTGCCATTGAGTTTGTAATTCCTTCCACATTCCTTGCCAAAATGCAAATTAGCTTTAACTGTATTTAAGCTGAAAGTTTTGAAGCTGCAGGGGGGTTTCCAGCAATCACATCTCCTGTTAGCATTTTTTTGCCAGCTCTTAAAAGCTTCAGCAAAAATATTAACAGCAGATGGCTTTGGCATACTTGCTAGCTGATGCTTTAAACTTACATGTCCATAAAATAACTGAACTAGCTTATTTCTTATCCTATTGAATGCATTACATTACTCATGTATGAATTTGTCTGCTATTGCTTAGTTTAAATTGTTCCTAAGTGGTGCCTGTAGAATGAGTTGTAGCTTTATGTTCAACTTCCAACTAAAGTGGAAAAGGCTATTTTAAACTTTCTCCTGTATTTATGAGTTGACGAGATGAAGTGATAACTCACTGTAATCAGCAGGGTTTTAACCTTTAGCTCCAGTTATCAATAGCAACCCTAGAAAGTTTAGTGTGTTTAATGCTCATAACCATGTAAGATTTTGGTTAGCAGGTAGTTTTTGAAAATATTGCAATTTAACACACTGTTTCACTCAATACAATGCTAGAAAGTAGGGTGAAAGAAAGAGTTAAAAGAGAAAATGCAAATTTTAAAATATTATTTTTGTACCTGAATATTGTCTAACTTAAATACTTCTATGGCTACACTATTTTTATTTCCAAATTCCTGGATGGAGATATTAGATGTAAGTAAATTTGAAAAAAATGCACAGTTAAGAAGAAATTTTGCAGAATGTAAATTTAGCATCCTGAATTTAATTGCTTGTAAGGTCTGGCTCATGCTTTTAGATACTAGAACTTTAAAACATCATCCAAGGTCATTAACACCTTTGCTTGTGATTTGTTTAAATGACGGTGGGGAAAATTATATGGTAGTTTATGTTAATTAACCAGTAATTATCCTTTATTATAACTTATCCTTTTTGTAGTCTTCACCAGAATGTAAATTAGTTATTTTATGTATTTAAGCTGAAGATTTGAATGCTCATATTAGTGCTTTTGACAGCTGCATCTTGATGTTACTGTTGCAAGATGTGCCTAAGCTATTCCAGCTTTAGTATCTTGATAGATGATATTTAGAAAATTTATGCCGCTAATTACTTCAAAAAGTTCAAGAAGTCTATTTTATGTGCAGTCACTAACTATGTTATCTATATTTGAACTTTAACTTTCTTTTGTATTAATTCAAATACCCGTCAGTAGTGGAAATTCATCTGTCTTTCTGTTTATGCAAGGCTTAAATAAAAAGGTTATGTTAGCCTTCACAAGACTTTGTGATTTGTTTCAAACTAAACAATAAGTCTAGTAAGGTCTGAAAGACTTTGGTACAAGGTTCTATAATAGCAGAACTCTAGAGGGCAAAGGCCACATACGGGCTCATGAGCTGCAGTTTGGCCATGCTTGTTATATAATACAGTCAAAAGTCGTTAATTCGGACACCCATAATCCGGAATGATCTATAATCCGAACCTCAAAGCTACGACCTTTACGGCTGCGAATATGCGTGTGCGCAAAATACGTTTATGAATGCGCATTTCATGTATAACGGACGGTATAAGTTAAGCTAAAATTATCTAATTCAGTTAATGTTGCAGATTGCGGAATTGGATTCGGCTTATTATTTTTGCAGACTGTTAGAGCAATTTTATAAAAGTAAGCTTGAGCTTTCGATTACGTCAAATAGAATTTCTGATATATATTTACTAATATGTAAAGGATCTACAAAGCGAAAGTATGCTTCCAAGTCCATTAACCCCTTCGCACCGACTGTCACGTATACGTGCCAACAACAAACACACTTACCTACCAGCCGACACACAGGCGTGCCAGAGCATTTTTATGTTTACTACCGACTGTCACGTATTTGTGCCAGTACCCTGGAACGTTTTTCAAACTATAATTTCTGCCACAAGATGGCACTGTATGTCCATATGGTTTCAGATACATGTACATTAGACCTTCTACTCGAAATGAGAGAAGCATGACTCACATACACGTGTTTTTGATTATATAAACAAACGGGAAACTAAATGTTTCCGAATGGCGTGATTTATGACGTCTCTTTAAATCGCACTTTATTCACATGTGGTAGTTGTTTATTGTAAGTAGAAGTTTTATATGCACTAAAGCGTTGAGTATTTCGGTTTACAGTTCAGTTTTTAGAAAATAATTAGATCTTGTTAGATGTGAATTCTTTCTGTTTTTACCGTTTCAATGTCGAAGTGTCGAAAATGTTTAACAGAGCATGAAATAGCAGAAATGATGCAAAATATTTCAGATATTGATTCTGAAAGATTAACTGAAAGACATTTTCCAAAACTTTGTTCAGAAGAGACTGATAAGAAAATGAGACAACGATGCTTCGTTTGTTCACATTCCCGGAAAAATCCTCCAAAACGGCAAATGAGTTATTACGAGTTCAAGGAATGTAACGTAGGACTGTGTGTAGGTCCTTGTTTTAAAATTTTTCATATGAAAAGAGAATTTTAAGTAATATATTTAGTTTTCAGATGTATAATGTTAAAAGTCATAAAATGGTGAGTAATTAAAATAAAATGTGTAAAATATGCATTTAAACAAGAAATAAGGTAATTAAAGTATATATATATATATAAATATCTATAAAGCATAAGCCATTTAAATACTCTATAGAGCATTATTAAACAATGCGTTGATTCTTCGGAAATTTCATGGATTTAGGCTTAGTAGCAAAAAAGCCCCCGGCCCTGGAGATACTCGCAAAAGACACTGCCGGTCTCCGCGATAAGCGCGCGTTTTCGCTACCCGGCTTGAAGGGGTTAAACAAAAAGTGGAATTGCTGCAAAAAATGGATAAAGGCATATCCTTTGTTTATCTAAACTTTAATGTTTCTTTATCTAAACTTTGTTTATCTTTAACGCCGCAGCGCGCAATGAATTGGAAGTTGATTTGTCAGCACTATCCTTATCTTTAAGGCAGATGTTTTTATTTTATTTGGCTTATAATTCCTTACTAAATGTAGTATTTCCTCTCGATGTACTCCGTCTTTGATATAATTTAAATCAAATTCCTCATCATTATAATTTGCTTCCGATAGCGAAGAAAGTGACAAAGGTTATTGAAAATGAAAAAATTGTGATTGACAAATTAGTCGGTATTCTCGACACAGCAATTATAGGACTTGAACAGTGGAACTTTGTAACTGAACAAGAAATTATGTCTGTTTATAAAATTAAAGAGAATGCATTATCACATAAAAAACGAAGCAACTTAAACAACTTACTTTGAAAGAAATGTTTAATAAAGTAAACAATTAAATATTAAGCTTTTTTTTTTTTTGTAAATTTTGATACCCTTTAGATCATAATTGTTCTTTATTTCATAAATTACGGTTTCATATTTTTTAATTTTAGAATTTCTGCATGCCATCTTACCAGATTTAAACTGATGATCTATAATCCGGAAAAATCGATAATCCGGAATCGCCGAAGTCCCGACGAGTCCGAATTAACGACTTTTGACTGTATTATAGCATCATGTGGCAAACTATTTGAGCTAATATAAATTCAGGAGGAAAAAGCCGAAACCTTTTGTATCAACTCGAGGAGTTCATTTGAATTTTTTAATGTCTCCAGCAAATTCTCAATATTCACAACAGCAAGAACATGTCTATCTTCTAATGCTGCTTTCATTATATCTCTCCAGTTTTTGTCAACAGTATTAAAGCGTCTATAAAATAAAAAAAAAAAATTAAATTAAATTTTTTAAAAAGACTAAATTTGCTGAAGAAAAATTTGCTTATTCTATTTTAAACATTTATTCATGAATGCTCACAAGCATTTCCTAAGCATTTTTATAGCCTAATTTGTTTGCTCATATAGTTGAAATTGATCAAGAGCCATTTATATAGTTGCTCTGAAAACAAAGAAAGAACAATCAAGAAGAAAACAATGGAAAGCAAAAATATTATTATTTTATTTTCCATTGCTTTCTTAATTGAAAAAGAACTGCTTCCTGAAAATTTCAGATTACAATTTGATCCTTAAATACTGGCAAAAGAATTTGAGAAAGTTAAAAAAAGTATTTAAAAAAAGAAACTGAATCTGACCTTGGTATGCAGATTTCAGTTTCAGATCAAAAACAATTTTAAGTGAAGCAGTTACAAAAAGCTTGATAATTTAAGAATTGGAAATAAAAAATATAGACCATAAAATCTTATACACAAAATAGATTGTTCAAGTTGGCAGGGCCAAATAATAGAAACAAATTTCAATTCAAATGATATTATTTTATCATACCTTAATGACACAATGAGATCTGCGTGCTTAATTAATAAAGAAACAATTATTCATCATATAATAGCACATTTATTTCATTGGATCACTTGCATCTAAGGCATGCAACAAACAAATCTCTCAAATACTAATACTTCAACAAATACTTTTCTTAATTGGAAATACTTTCATTTCGCCAGAACATGGAATCTATAAACTGAAACAGCAAACACCTTTAAAGAGGTTTACATTGAGGTGCTTAAGAAATAAATACACTCATTAACAATTCATCGATAACTATAAATTAAATAATAATTCTAAATAAATATGTATTATTTTCTGAAAAGCAAAAATAAAAGTTCAGGTCTTTTCTTAGTGTATTAAAAACTGCCTCCTGAATCATGACCCACATTATGGGAATCAGTGGCTTTCAGAATCATCTTTACATCTGGGTAAACAAAAATTAATGTGAAACCTGAAAAGCTAAAATAAAGAATACATAAGTGAAGGATAATTAGAGAAACCAGATGTAGTTATCTAAATGACAATAACAAAAGGCAGTATCATTTAATACAATTTTTAATACTTTACTATCAATTTTACTGTTTTTTTTAAATTTTCTTAGTTAGTTTCTGGTTTTCACTTTTATGCTGTCATTAAACATAAAAAATAATTAAATTGTTTTATTGGAAGAATGATGCATGAAGAATTTTAAATTAGTGAGGGGGGAGAACTTAGATTTCCATAGATTCTGACAAAACTGTCACGAATTTTTAAGGGAATTATGCATAAATCTTCATTAGTAAAAATTTTTTTCAAAGTGAGGAGGAGCAGAAATCATACTCATAAGGAAATTAACATGTGAAGCATAAAGGAAAAATATAGCACCATCTGTAACTATAATGAAATGTGAAAAACTTTTGAAAGAACCAGGAAAACTGGAATGTAACTTTTTTTTTTTTTTTTTTTTTTTTTTAATGTAATGTAAAAAGATTCTATGAAGTCCAAGTTAACAACAGATGAAGCTCTGTGGATAACTTTTGTCACATCTAAGTGAAAACTGTGATTAAAGACCAGCTATGATTAGCTATTGCAATTTTGTTTATTTCTCTTTTTTTGAACATAGGATTTATGTTCTTTGATGAGAAATTTTATGCTCTTTTAAGTTGGCTGATATATATTGTTATGCCATATTGACTGACTGATTGATTTATAGCATATCTTGTTAGCTCCTAGAATCATGGTTACTTCGAATCAATTAAAAATATTTTAGGAATCAGCTTGTAGAATCACTTCCTGAAATACTTTTAGTTGATTATTTACGATTTAATTTGCTACATACTTTTAAGCCAGAAAAAACATTTAGTTGATTGGAAATGGCCAGCAGTATTTTTAACTGATTAAACAATATTACAACTCAATTTTAACAAATGGTTCAGAAGCAAAGTGACTACATAAATCAACCTAGAGAATAAACTGAATCTTGTAATTAAACTTGTCTGCAAAAAATATACAGTTTGACTGCTCAAGCAACCAAGAATTATACATATTTTGTAAATCAGGTCAAACAGCACTCTCCGTACATACTTACCAAAATATCATATTTTATACAGAAGTCAGTCTGAAATTTTTCATCGTAAGTGGCAGAATAAAATTAACAGTTAGATTTGAAAACATTACTATTTTAGCAAAGCAAATGATTTTTTGAACAACTGCAAGTAGTTTGGCATAGAACAAATAATAGGCAAAAGGAAAAATGGAGTTGACGCGAGAACATTATTGTGCTATGATTTTCTTTGATTTTAAAGTGGGATTTAATCAAGATGAATGCATTTAACGTCTACAGTTAGCATTTAGATATGTTGTGCTACTGTATTCACATGGTTTATAGAATTTTCCAGAGGTTGCAACTCTCTTCAGGATGAAAAACACACAAAGGCCATTGTTAGCAGTAATCCAGCATGTATGTTTGCCATATAAAGAATGTTAATCAATGATAATCGCTGCACCTACCAAATGATACAGAAGGAACTTAACATTGGATCCACCATCATACATAAAATTGTTCATGAAGAACTGCATATGAAAAAACTAGATTTCCACTGAGTTCGCCATAATTTAGCAGAGCACCAAAAAGTGGAGTGTGTCAGAATCAGTAAAGAAACCCTTAAATTATTTAAAGATTACATTATTTACACACACATTATTTCTACAAGGTATCTTGTAACAAGTGTTTCTACAAGGTATTCTTGTAATCAAAAACGGCAAGAACGTTTTGGAGAGTCAGAAAGAAAAAGTCATAAAACAAATAATAATCACCGCAAATCCTCAAAGTAATCAGCATCAGCATCCAGTGACTTTTGCCAATGAGTGGCTAGCTGTACAATGCCATCACAGTATATCTCAGGAGTCATAGATGCAAAGAAGTCCGCAGAGGACTTTTCGAGGTCTGGCCAGTTATTGAAGGATTTACTATGAAGATGGTTGTCCAGGGAATGGAAAAAGGTGGTAGTCTGTTGGCATGAGATCTGGAGAGCATGGTAGATGAGGTAGTGTCTTCCAGCCCAGTCGCTGGATGGTGTCCCAGGCCTCCTGAGCCACATGCGGCCTCCCATTGTCATGGAGGAGGAGTACACTCTTATGATTGACCAATGCTGGCTCTTTATGCATCAGTCAATGGTTTGGCTCACTGGCAGGAGCCAAACCATTGACTGATGCATAAATACATCCATTGACTGTGCACCACTTGGCGCCTAGTCCACCAGATACTGAGCATGATCTTGCGTGGGTTGAGAGAAGGTTTCACAGTGTGAGGCACAGGGTCCCATGGTGACAAGCAATGTATGGAACACCTGGGAGTGTCATACTGGGTCCACTTTTCATCACTGGTGAGTACTCGATCAAATATGGATGCATTGCCGGACCAAGTAAGCAATGACAAACAGGTAGTGACATGCTGTTGCTTGTTTGCATTGGACATGAGTGGGGTACCCAATTGCTCAGCTTGTATACCTTTTCTATGCGGTACAAATGGAGTCTGATCATTTCATCAGATACCTGGAAGTTTCATGAGTGGGGGTACCCACTTGCTCAGCTTGTATGCCTTTCTTATGTGGTGCAAATGCAGTCTGATCATTTCATCAGATACCCGGAAGCCCACCAGCGGCCGAGCGGTAAAGTGGCTGAACAATGGTAGTCCAGTCCAAGGTTCGAATACTGCGAACAGGCTGGCTGCATGGGTGTTTTCGTGCTTTTCCCCATGTGTAACGTGTATACGAGCCAGTTTCCCTTCGAAAGTCCTCCACGAAGGCATCCCTCCCTTTAGGCAGATAGCCCTAGTGTGCTTTGCCATAATTAAATACACCACCACACCAGATACATGGAAGTGCAAGAGCAAGCTCACATGTTTGGCTACTTTCCCTCTCTATGGCTGCTTTCAGCCTCATCGTCCAGTGTTTGTGGCCACTGCTGCGTGGTGCATCATTAAGAGACATATTCCCTGACCTGAATTTCTGGAACTATTGCTTAGCAATTCATTTCTTAATGGCACCCTTCCCAAAAGCCTGGCAGATTCGGCGACTTGATTCTGCTGCTGACCGGTCCACTTTAAAATCCTACAGCAAAGAACTCCGAACGAACACCTTTGATGCATCCATTTTAATCAGTCGTTGTGTGAGTTATGTTTGAAGTACCGATGGATCACACATTTATATTCTTGGTCAATGTCCATACTCTCATCCTAATCACTTCATCGCCAGGTTTGGTAACTATTTTAATGTTGGGGTTCACTCTTCTAATGTATTACAGAACTTTTTTGGTTACTTTGTAAAAGTGTAATGGGTGATGAAACATACATACCATTTTTTAATGTTCCAACAAATCAAAAAAGTATGGGTCTTTGTAGATGATTCCATGCCCACAATGGTGAACAGACAAGAAATGCCACGAAAAAAGTAATGTATACATTTTACTTCAGAAGTATAGTACTAGTCAAAGACATCAAGCTGAAATGACAGAAGACAGCTAGACACCCAATCTAGCTGCTTGTGACTTTTAGCTATTTTTTTAATGTAAAAAATTAAAAAAAAAAAAAAAAAACTTATATGGATGTCATTTTCATTCGAGAGATGAGAATGATGAGACTACAAAAATATCCATGCTCATTCAAAACATTAGTAAAAGCCAACCAAAAAACAATTATCCATATGTAGCTACTAAAAATGCTGGAAGCTGTATGTATTTTGCCTGCTTCATTTGATATCTAATGAAGGTTAAAATATTTTAAAGAATTGTCTGTTTTAAAATGCCGTCAAACATTTCAATCCTGTTTTATAGTCCTTTTGGTAAGACAGGAATTCAAAGAATATTATTATCTGAGTTTGATCAGCATCAAATTGTTCTGCATTGTATTTGCTGCTCTTCTAAAAGCCTGCCCCTTTCTGGCAACATTAACACCAACATGAAGATGTCAGAAACATGCCAGACAGCTTTTGTGAAACTTGATTATCATCCATCAACTGACATGATTACTCAGATTACAAGTTCAAATGATTCTTTTATTTCTTAATTATGATTTCTACAACAGACATGATAATGCACTGTTAAGACCAGTTTTTGGAATTCTTATAGTAATTTGCTTTGAAAATGTATGCAGTAATACTGGTGAGGCTTCAAGATATATAACACAATAATTTTTTTAAAAATCAAAACATTTGACATGAATTCTCGTACTGGATAAAAGATCATACTAGTTAATACAATAGACATTGTAATTTATTTTTCAGTAATTGACAAAATAACAGATAATCTTCTTATTAAAACATAAATTTTACTTTTATTTTACTGAGATAAATAATTTGAATACAATTTTTATGTGTCAAAATTTTCATACATCTCCTAGCTGGTCAAACTTCAGAATAATAATTTTTAAACAATTTCTTCTGTTGCTGAGCAACAGTTACATCAAACAAATATGGCATTGCCACTTCAATAATTAATATAGTTATTTGTTAAATAACAAGATATTACAACACATTAATATGATAATGATATCAGACATAAGCAATAGTAATGTAACTAATTATGAAACTGATCAAATTCCCAGAATTAAAGAAAACTGGCAGCTGTGAAAGTGAATTACCTGAAACAATGTTTATATCATCTATTTTTTAGGATAACTTAAAGAAAAAATAAAAATTCTGTAAATTTATTTAACTTTGATATGTTCCTGAAATGTTGACCTGCATAATAGTTAAAAACTTAAAATGTGCATCAAAGGGGCAAATAACTTTCGATCATATTTAAAGTGAAGTAAAATTAATTTTCTTAATATATTGGGTCATATAAAAAGTCTGCAGTTTTTTGCCAGTCGATGGTGTTGATACCCATATGTCCGGCAAGAATCACCCGATTGTCTCAAACAAACATGTGCTTAAAAGGTGACATTCAGCTTCCATTGTTAGTGAAGATAGTCTTCTAATTCATTGCTCATGTAAAAAGTTATACTGATTTTAAAATGAATACAATATCTGAAGAAATATGCTATGTGATGCTTTTTTACTATAAAAAAGGTAAAAACCCTGCAAAACATGTTGAAAAATTTGAAGTGTACAGTGAGAATGCTGTGAGTGAACGAAGGACCAGGAGTGGTTTGCACAATTCTGTTCCATAAATTTCTATGTTAAAGTTGCACCTCGCTCTGGTCGACCAGTCACTGAAAAAGGTCGATGAAATTTTGCAACTGGTGGAGCTAGATTGGCACACAAGCTGTCAGGAAATAGTGCAAGGCACTAACATCAGTCACATGTCAGTTTGGAATTATTTGAAAAGAACACTCTACAGAAAGAAGCTTGATGTTTGGGTGCCAGAAGAATTAATGCAAATATATTTGACTGACTGAATTACCATCAGTGAAATGCTGCTGAAATGCAACAAAATATAACCATTTTTAAAGCAAATCATTACAGGCGATGAAAAGTGGATGAAATATGAGATTATCAAATGCAAGCGATAATTGACAAAGGTGATGACCCTCAAAAAACGAATTCAAAGCCTGGATTGTTGCCAAACAAGGTTATGCTGAGCGTTTGGTGGAATTGGAAAGGAATTGCCCATTATGAGCTGCTGCAACCTGGCAAAACCATCAAATTGGCTCTGTACTATGCACAACTGGACTGTTTGAATGAAGCAGTCCAGAAAGAGCGACAAGTATTGGCCAACAGAAAGGGAAGTTGTGTTCCATCATGACAATGCAAGGCCACACACATATTTGATTACTCGGAACAAATTGATGGAACTTGGTTGGGAAGTTTTGATGCATTCACTGTATAGCCTGGACCTTGCAAAGTCTGACTACCATTTGTTTTGGTCTCTGCAAAACTCTCTTGATGGTAAAAAACTGGCTGACTGAAGCACTGCTGAAAATCACAAAAAAGTTTTTTGATGTAAACCACAGAAGTTCTACATCAATGGAATTATGAAGCTACCCAAAGAATGGCAAAAGGTCATAGATAACACTGGTCAATATATACGAGGGCTATCCAGAAAGTAGATTACGTTTTGGAATAAAAAAATAAACAAAGTATAGGAAACAAATTTTATTATATACAGATGAAAGCCACACTCAAATACTACTTTTCTACATAGTCACCATACAAATTAAGGCATTTATCGTAGCGATGTACGAGCTTGGAAATTCCTTCGTCGAAAAATTCGGCCGCCTGCGCCTTCAACCACTTCGTTACCTCTTCTTGCAGCTGTGCGTCGTCATCAAAACGCTGCATAGCCAGCCACTTCTTCATTGCTGGGAATAGGTGGAAGTCGCTCGGTGCCAGGTCGGGACTGTACGGCGGATGAGGAAACAACTCCCACTTAAAAGATTCAAGAACTTTACGAGTGACATTTGCCGTGTGGGGCCGGGCGTTGTCGTGAATCAACAAGATCTTAGAGCTCAACATTCCTCTGCGCTTGTTTTGAATTGCTCTTCTGAGTTTTTGGAGAGTTTGGCAATACCTTTGAGAGTTTATTGTAGTGCCTCTTTCCAGGAAGTCCACCAGAATTACACCTTTTCTGTCCCAAAAAACAGTCGCCATCATCTTCCTTGCCGACATTGTTTGCATGCATTTCTTGGGTTTTTGGGGAGAACTTGTGTGCCCCCACTGCATTGATTGCAATTTCGTTTCACAGTTCACATGTTTCACCCATGTTTCGTCACCAGTAACGATGCGATCGAGTAAAGAGTCACCATCCTTATGGTAAGCGTCCAAAAAGTTCAACGCTGCAGCCATTCGCTGATTTTTGTGATCCTCTGTCAAGATTTTTGGAATCCATCTTGCACAAAACTTGTGGTAACCAAGCTTTTCGCTGATGATTTCGTGCAACAAACTTCGCGAAATTTGTGGAAAACTCAAAGAAAGTTCCGTTATTGTGAAATTTCGATTTTCACGGACTTTAGCATCGACTTTTTCGAGAAGTTCGGCGGTCAATGGTCACTATGCTGGGTCTCCCACTTCGATCTTCGTCGTGTGAACATTGGTTCGGCCATTTTGAAATCTTATGACCCACTGACGCACTCCACCTTCAGTGATAATGTTGTCCCCATACACTTCACGAAGCTGCCGATAGATTTCTATCGGTTTACAGTTTTTTGCAGTCAGAAACCTTATTACTGAGCGCACCTCTCAGCTCGCGGGATTTTCAATTAACGCAGACATTTCAAACCGCCACAGTATCTGAATGGAGCACAGCACGAACCTCTCACTAGCACGGCTAGATGCAGACTGAGCTGCGCAACGCTCTGACCCCAAGATGGCCGCGCTAGCCCCACCCCTAGCGGACACAGACGGAAACGTAATCTACTTCCTGGATGGCCCTCGTACTTGATTAAAATTTATTTTTAATAAAGAATTTTTTTTCAAAAAATGTAACAAAAAACCACAGGGACTTTTTATATGGCCCAATGGCAGCATAAATTAACTAAATTCAAAACTCTACTTTTGGCTTATAATCAGTATGATGATATGGCGTATTTGTGATAATTTTCAATAATAACATAAGAAAATACTTCTGAGATACTTTATTCATGATGCTTTATTTTATTTTATGATGAGTATGAACATCAGTTAAGTTTGATTAAATTTTGTAAAAGGTTTCAATGTGCATATATATCAAGTAATAAATCAAGCAATTTTTAAAATAAAAAAATACAAAAGTTTAATAATAAATCAAAGTTTAACATACAAATTTACCTAGAAGCTTCTTAACACATACCTTCCTTCTTCAGGCATTTGAGCCATTATATCAGGAGAACTAAAAATTGGTTCTAAATACAGCCAAGTAGCTTGAACTTTCAACCACTCATCTATTATTTCTTGCAGAAGCATTAGTTTACTTTCCCAAGACCTTACACATAAACAACAGCATAAGTATTATAAAATGCTTCATACAATTTGAGTGTGCATAAGTCATAAACATATCCATGCTGCATGCAAACAAATTAAATCAGATAAAGTTTTAACTTCAACATTTTAATTTTAACTATACCTGTGTGACATAACATAGGTGACGTATATATCTACATACCAGTAAAAGAGAAAATATAATCTTTCAGCCAATACCACAACTAAAACTTCTATTAACAAACAGAAATAAAATGATACCACTAAACTAAAATTTCTATTAACAAACAAATAAAATGATACCACTATGTTTCTTTTCAATTGCTTGCCTTTGCTTAGTTAATATGTCATCTGAAATCTATTTCTTTATTGCCAATTGAAATAATGTAAGTATTTGAATCATAAAATTAAAGTTAGTGAATAGAGGGTGCATTTATCATCTTTGTTACTATTCTGTCTATTACATATAAAGAAAGGTGATCTGCAAAAACCCATGCCTAACAATTAATAAAAAAAATTCATAAGCTCCAGTATGATATTTTCTGTAATCTTATACATTACATCTTAAATTTTTATCATGTATTTAATAGATAAATTAATCCTTGAACACTGTGGGTTTCAGTTGTATGACTCCATTTATGTAGAGATGTCTTCAATAGACAAACAAGCAACTAATTTTTCATAATTCTGGTACTTTCTTCTTATTATTATTTCTATTTTTAAAATGTCAAGTTGGCATCAAGATTATTGTCAAATTCATGTTTATTTCTCTCACACACTTTTGGGCTGCTATGTTTCCACAATTGTTTTTATTACGGCATCAGAAGCATTTTCTCATCCCAAGGACTTTTAGCACATAACTCCTCATAATAAGATTCATAAGGCAAACCATGCTGATAATTAGAAGACTGTTATAGTATTTTAACATTCTATGTATGTGCAGCTTTTGTTGGATCAATTCAAATTTAAAGATTCACAGCAAAATAGTATTCTCACAGTATTCTATAAACTGATTTTTTCAGTTTTTCTGCTTTATATACTCATCAAAAGTCAGAATAAATACTTGATCCCTCTTGTACATGGTTGACGATTTTTGCCATGAGCGTAGTTGTGTCTCTATATGGAACTTTAGCAAAGTCGAATTTAATTTCTCTACAAACAATACTAAATATCCAGTATTATGGAAGAATAATGCAGGCTTTGTTTTTCCCAGTATAAATGGTTTTTGTTTATGTCCACAATTTTTCAGAGCCAAACATTCACTTATTTTTTTGTTGAATTAGATGAGTACTAGCATAAATATAGGTAGGCAAGATTAGAGAATGCACAATGGCCCATGCATTTTAACTATTACCTTTTGGCTTGTGAATGTTAAAACGTAATACAAAATAAATAAATGTGTTACCAATTCCATTTTTGATATATATATATATATATATATTACTTGTTGATTTATTTTAAAATAAATTTATTTTAAAATTTTGTGAATAATTTATGTCGTTAATTATAAAAGAACTTTATACCTTCTTTTCAAATAATATAGAAATCTCTACATATAATAAAAGAAAGAGTCTGTCTGTGTGTGTGTCTTTCGTTAGCGCTGCACATAAGCTAATAGACCCACGGCTACGAAATTTGGTACATAGGTGCATCTAGACCAGAGATGAGTCAGTGCACCTCGAAGCGATTTTTTTAAAATTTGAATTTGAATTTTTTTATTTTATGTTTTGTGATGAAATTGCGTCATTTTGCGACATAATGGGCTACAGGAAAGCGAGATTTACTATAGATTACACACTCCATTTTCACATCGTCATGAAATGTAGGCACTTGGCTATTTTACGAACATAAAATAAATTTCATGTTTCAATAAATCGATTAAATACAAATTTATTTAACAAAGGGAGCTTAACACCTTTTCAACGGGATTTTTTTCTAAAAAAGTTTATTTTTAAAAATGTACAGTTTATTTTTCTTTGATTTTTGCACAAGTTAAACTTTCATCCTTGCGACTGCTTTTACAAAAAGATTTTAGAAAAATGACAATATTTTGTATTAAAAAAAAAAAAAAAATTAAATGAAGCTTCCGAGTACACTTCTCACATCTCACATCTTTAAAAATGTGATTTTTGCAACAATTTTCCTGTCTTATTGTTGTTGATAGATTTTTGATGAAATTACATCATTTTGAATAGTTTCATTCCTTTAGAAATATGGGTTTGGTAACAATTTTTCATCGTATTTCTTATGTCACTGTTTTTAAGAGATTGGCATATTTCATTGTCATTTTTTTATATATATAATACATTTTTATTGATTTTTTTTTGATAAAGTTGCTCTGCGGAGTAAAATTCTGTGTGGAATTTTATGTTTTTTGAGTTGCTTTCATGTTATTCTTTGCTTATTTTACTGTTCGTAAGATATTGAAAAGTTTTGCATGATTTTTTTTTCTTCAATGGAAAGTTGGTTAATTTTTTATTAGGATAATTAATATTTGTATTAAGGGATATAGCTTATTTCATTGTAATTTTTTTCTATTGAAAATATAAGATATCATTATACTTTGCTTTTCAGAATTTTTTGTTTTTTATATTCTTTTATTAAATGGCTGCGATGTGACTGCTGACACATTTTCTCAGTAGATTCCTAAAGTATCATAACATTTCAATATTTCAGAAAAAGAATCATTCAAACTGTCGAGTAAGAAACTGTTTAAAAAATTTTAATTTTATTGCAGAATTTTTATATATTTTTTTATGTAGTTATGGTGGTGGTTAAGAAGGGGATATAAATTATGCTTTAACAAATGTTTAATGCACATCTCATGCAATCAGTTTGTTAAAAATTCAAGATGTATATGTTTTTCTAGAGATACATCAGGGCCGTATGCAAGGGAGGGTTGGAATCTTAACAAAGAGAAAAAAGTTGGAAGAACTTACGTGGCCATCGGTCCCAGGTGTGTCTTTTAGGCATTTTTCCGGTATGTTTAAAAGCCAGATGAAGGCATAGCGGTTAGTTAGAAATAAAATTCAGTGCCACAGCAGCTTATCTCGTTTGTTCCCAATTCTGGTGCTGCATAATGAATTATTTTGCTTACACATATTGGCCTGTTTTATAGTAGCATTGTTAGCAACTATGCATGCACAGTCTAACTAAAACCGGTATGTTCCAGTTGAAGGAGCAGTAAAACATCTTGAAACTAGGCTTCAAGAATTCCATTTCACTTATGCTGAAATTGAAGAGTTAATTTTTCTTACTAAAGTCTCTCCGAGTCAAATCCACCCAGTTTTCCAAAGTAAATATTATCTCCAAATTGAAGGATTAGCAATGGGTCTTGCTGACATTTACCTGTACTGTTTTGAGGTTGAATTATTTGAGAAATTATTTTTTTGTCTCTGGACTCGTTACACAGATGACACTTTCACACTTTTTGATGGTAATAAAGTAGTTTGATCCCACAAAAACCACATAAACTGCAAACACAAAACTATCATATGAAAAGATTTTACTATATGTGAACTATAAGAAATAAACTAATTTTCTTCTATTTTTTATATATATAATATTTTGCTGCAATTTTGTATATTACGAATATTGCACATCAAATTATATCAACTAGTCATATGAAAATTATTTTGAAAACTATTAAATTTACACAGTACTGAAGCAAAAATATAGCAAATTTGCTCGATTTCTTAATAATATGAGAATTATAATCCCCAATGAATTTGCGTTTTAAATAAATTCGTTAAAATACAATGTACACAAAAGAAACGAGTTGTTAAAATATGAAGTATGTTAAAGTAATGGAATGTCAGTCTTAGGTATTATCCCTATAGAAAACATTACACAATAAATTTTTCATTTCTTTTGAGTATCCAGTTTGAGTAATATAAAAATATTAGCAAATTTGTATTTTGGTGCTTCTTTAAAAATTACAGATTGTTAGTAAACATAAATATATCTTTGTTCTTTTAAACTTTAAAATTGGTAAGAAACTGCTTAAGAATTCTTATACTGCTACTTGCACAGATGATATTACATAATAATTCTATATTATGTATGTTTAGTACTATGGCTCAATCTCTAGAACAAGGCTAAAAAATATATGGCTCAAGAAAGGAATAATAATAATAATAATAATAATAAAAAAAGGTTTTTCTTACTTTGCTTTGGCCTCAATTGGCTTAACAGAAGATGTACCTATCATAGCTTGAGTTTTGACAATATGATCATCCAAAAGCAATTGTATCTCATCGACAGAAGACAGAATATAAGTTCCAGATTCCCGAAATGGTACCACAGAGAACATGATCTAAATATAAAATATGGAACATCATAACGAAGTAGAAAACTGAAAAATTCGAGTCTAAATGAAAACAAAATATTATACAGTGAAATCCTTCCCCAAAGTTCTATAAAATGCTGGAACTCATTTATTCCCCTTTTGCAAGTTCAAAAATGATTTGCTGTTTCTGGAATTTTTCTGTTTGAGACAGTGGCTAACAGTTTAAAGTGGCAGAACTTTTTAATTATTATTTTTTTTTTCATGTGATACCATGATACTTTTTATCAAGTAATCCAACTTGCATTTATTTAGCCATAAACTTTATTTAGTCACCTACTGAAGTTCTTTAAGTAACATTAAGAAGTAACATTTGGTGTTTTCCTGTTCATAATGTAGTATATAGATGGAATGAAAATTGCAAAAATTGAATTTCAAAGAAAGACATTAAAAGTTCACATCATTATGGATGTGCTTTTTGAAGACTTCTTGGATATCCAGTAAAATATATGCCTGGCAAACACAAATCCTTAATAATAATAGCAATAATAATAATAAAAGAGGAGGATAATGACAATAGATTTGATGTGATGAGACAATAGGAGTGCATGTATAATATTTGCAATTCTGTTTATGATGAGTTACTCTAGGGGGGGCGAAAGATCTTTAAAAGAACTAAAGTATTAATATAATTTTCATTCAAATTTATTCAAAACCATTTCATGCATAAACTCACTTCTTGGATCTTGAACTTACTTGTCTAACAACACATCTATAAAATATTTTAACTTACTGTGTTGAAGGACTGCAAATAAGTGCTTCATATTTTGCTTGATGTATTGCATCATACTTTTTTAAAAACACTTTATGCTCAAGTTTTAACTCTAGATACTATAATTCTATATATTTGCAAATCATTAAAAGATATACGAGGGCCATCCAGGAAGTAGATTACGTTTCCGTCTGTGTCCGCTAGGGGCGGGGCTAGCGCGGCCATCTTGGGGTCAGAGCGTTGCGCAGCTCAGTCTGCATCTAGCCGTGCTAGTGAGAGGTTCGTGCTGCTCCGTTCAGATACTGTGACGGTTTGAAATGTCTGCGTTAATTGAAAATCCCGTGAGCTGCGAGGTGCGCTCAGTAATAAGGTTTCTGACTGCAAAAAACTGTAAACCCATAGAAATCTATCGGAAGCTTCGTGAAGTGTATGGGAACAACATTATCACTGAAGGTGGAGTGCGTCAGTGGGTCATAAGATTTCAAAATGGCCGAACCAATGTTCACGATGAAGATCGAAGTGGGAGACCCAGCATAGTGACCGCCGAACTTCTCGAAAAAGTCGATGCTAAAGTCCGTGAAAATCGAAATTTCACAATAACGGAACTTTCTTTGAGTTTTCCACAAATTTCGCGAAGTTTGTTGCACGAAATCATCAGCAAAAAGCTTGGTTACCACAAGTTTTGTGCAAGATGGATTCCAAAAATCTTGACAGAGGACCACAAAAATCAGCGAATGGCTGCAGCGTTGAACTTTTTGGACGCTTACCATAAGGATGGTGACTCTTTACTCGATCGCATCGTTACTGGTGACGAAACATGGGTGAAACATGTGAACTGTGAAACGAAATTGCAATCAATGCAGTGGGGGCACACAAGTTCTCCCCAAAAACCCAAGAAATGCATGCAAACAATGTCGGCAAGGAAGATGATGGCGACTGTTTTTTGGGACAGAAAAGGTGTAATTCTGGTGGACTTCCTGGAAAGAGGCACTACAATAAACTCTCAAAGGTATTGCCAAACTCTCCAAAAACTCAGAAGAGCAATTCAAAACAAGCGCAGAGGAATGTTGAGCTCTAAGATCTTGTTGATTCACGACAACGCCCGGCCCCACACGGCAAATGTCACTCGTAAAGTTCTTGAATCTTTTAAGTGGGAGTTGTTTCCTCATCCGCCGTACAGTCCCGACCTGGCACCGAGCGACTTCCACCTATTCCCAGCAATGAAGAAGTGGCTGGCTATGCAGCGTTTTGATGACGACGCACAGCTGCAAGAAGAGGTAACGAAGTGGTTGAAGGCGCAGGCGGCCGAATTTTTCGACGAAGGAATTTCCAAGCTCGTACATCGCTACGATAAATGCCTTAATTTGTATGGTGACTATGTAGAAAAGTAGTATTTGAGTGTGGCTTTCATCTGTATATAATAAAATTTGTTTCCTATACTTTGTTTATTTTTTTATTCCAAAACGTAATCTACTTTCTGGATAGCCCTCGTATTTTTACCAATTATAATTTGAATGTATATGATACTTATTAAAACTAAAAGTGTCTGCAACTCTATCTCTGGTTAAAGAACAAAACACTCATATCACCAAGACACTCACTTAAGACATCAGGTATGCATACAAAATAGGAAATTATTCCACAATTTCACAATTTAAAAAATTTGTTAGTATATAAAATAGTTACAATTTATATTATGAATATAAATCAGATAAATTTTGTTAATATGAGAAAAATAGAGAGCTGAAATTAATATTTTTCTTTCAATTAAATAGAAAAGGGAGAAGAAGAAATCTTACCTCACTCCATTCATCAATCATTTTATCCAATGCTTTTTCTAAATTGTATTCTTTACTAGCTGCTTCACTAATACCTTCAAACTGAGGGATGTATTCCTCTAAGTTCAAGCCAATTAGTTTTGCCAAAGTTGTTGTTGGATCAGGCTTGAGGGGAAACCCAACAATCTCTGATATCTGATCCCAGTGACGATTTCTAAGACCAGGATTACATAATGTTTGAACTAAAGGAATGTAACCTTTAAATTTCTCTACTACAGCTCTCACCTATAAAATACAGAATTTGTTAGTCATACAAGTGACTAATCAAACATATGACATCAAAAATTGAAATCTTGTTAGTATCATATAAAATGGACTCTCATTAATGCAAACTCAAGAGAATTAGGGACATTGTGTCTAACAAAAATTAACAGGAGGTTGAGCTGTCAAATGTATTCTAAAAATGTCTTCACAATTGAGCTTATCAGAATTTCAGCATAGGTTCAAATTAATTAAAATCATCATATTTCAAACTAGTGAATTTACTATATTTACCTTTTGTAAATTAATTTACCAATATTACTCCAAAATTTTTTATTTGAATTTTGGGAAGAAGGGGCTAAGCTATTTTGAATGTTTCACATTCTAGATAATGAAACAAAAGCATATTCTCTAAAATGTATACACAGTACAATGTGCATAATCCGGACTCGTCGGGATTTCGGGGATTCCGGATTAGGGGTTCTTCCGGATTACAAATCATCAATTTAAATCTGGTAAGATGGCATGCAGAAATTATACAATTAAAAATATGAAACCGTAATTTATGATATAAAGAGCAATTATGATCTAAAGGGTATCAAAATTTACTAAAAAAAGCTTAATATTTATTTGTTTACTTTATTAAACATTTCTTTCAGTTTAAAATGCTTCATTTTTTTTGTGCTAATATTTTATCTTTAATTCTATAAACAGACATAATTTCTTGTTCAATTATAAAGTTCCACTGTTCAAGTCCTGTAATTGCTGTGTTGAGAATACCGGCTAACTTGTCAATCGAAATTTTTTCGTTTTCAATAACCTCTCTGTCACTTTCTTCACCATTGGAAGCGCGCATGGGTAAACGCTTTACGCGTATGCATAGCAGACGAGAGCATTAAATGCACATGCGTAAGTTTGTGGCTTTGAGGTCCAGATTATAGATCATTCCGGATAATGGACGTCCGGATATCGAACTTTGTACTGTATATGAATTATTATACAAAAGTTAAGTTCCCTGGTAAATTAGTTTCCATAAAGTATTGAACCTTTAAATATATTTTCTAACAACGTTTTTTTTTTAAGTTCATCGTTTTGATAGAGTATTAACAATGTATGACATTTACATGATTTATACGTGCACACACTACTATGGGAAACTATAAAATAATATTACTGCAATTAAAAAAAATTCATCTTTGACAACTTAGTCCATAATTTCTAATATTTAATAGATATTTATTTTTTAATAAAATTCGGTGTCTATTTATAACACAGATAAGGTTCTTGCATTAAACAAACCAATTCTTATGGTTTTCTATCTTTACTTTAACCTCTTTCTGTATTCCTCACCAAAATGCAATTTAGCTTGTAGTTTATTCATCCTAAGGGCTTTTGGATTTTGAGAGAAAGACTGGCGTTCCTGCTGCATTGTTAGAATTCTGTCAGCTGTAGCTAAATATCATTATTTCGCCTTTGCATGCTCTCGCAACCAATATTTTAAACTCATGCATCAGTAAAGTATTTGAGTCAGCTTGTATCTTAGGTTTTTAACTGAGTAGACTACAGAATCAACGTTCAAGTTTAAGTGACTATTATTTCTGATTTGCATCATTACAAGTCATGGTTATTTGTAGAGTAGAAGGTGTGCCCTATTTTCTCAAAAGACCTGTCAAGTAAGGTTACAGGACTAAAGCTCTAGTATCAGACCAAGTATAAGCTTATTCAGAAATGAAAAATTTATCTAAACAGCCTGCATGGAATCTGATTAAATAGGCATAGTAAAATTTTAAAAGCATATTTTTCTTCAATAAAAATCAAAATTTTTTTAATATTTTAGTACAGAAATAAATAAACATACATTTTCAGCAATTCGTTTTGGTTCTAGTTTGTCATAAAATCCTTTTTCTAGCTTGTATAAAGAACGCCAAATTGTCATCACATCTTGCTCTACAAGCTCAGGATCTACTTTATGAATAGGACCATCAAGCCAATCTCTTAAAGAAATAATGAAATTAATATTAAATTGCAGTTTTTAAATTAAAAGATGTATGAAATGAAATTTTTCCATCAAGCCTAGATCTTAAAAAAATCATGAAAATAGATTTAAACTATATAGTTTTTAAGTTATATGAAATGCATTCTTTTAGCGAACTGATTGTAAAAGTGAATACAATTATAAAGATCTGTGAAGATTTGCTTATGATAGTCTATTGTGAAATGTGGAAGAGAATAGTAAATTTATTTACTCGTTCACATTTTAAAATAGATCATCATAGAAGGCAGCTGCATTTAAAATAAAATATTCACATACTATTAACATAATATTTAAATTATTAGATACATGAAGAAAAAACTTCGATAAACACAGTTAAAAAGTTAATAAAAAATATTACCTGAAAATTGGAAATATATCACTGGAATCGAAATAATATGAATCTGCATTTTTTTATTATTTCACTTAAATACATTTTCTAGCATGTGCTTTGACAATTTTCATTCTATTACAAAGACAGTGATACATAATCTACAAGATAACCAATGTGCTGCCAAAATTAATAATTTCAACAGCAATAAGATCATTCAGTTTTAACCCCACCCTCCTCCTTGTAATTTTGATGATTTTTTTATAGAAAGCCATGCTCCTGAATTAAAAAATGACATTCCTTTTTGATTATCACTTATCAGTTTTAAAGGAAACAAAGAATTACAGTTAAAACATTGATTAAAAGTTAATACATATTCATTTCTGTTGCACCCAAAAAATCATGTATGAAAATTTTGATTATTTGCAATTACCCATTTAGCTTATCAATAACTATAAGACTTTATTACAATAAAAATCTACATCATCATTTAACTGTTTCTTCTAAAACCATCAATTTAAGTCTCTCATATACAAATTCAACAGATGATAGCAATTACTTTGAAGTGATATTTTCTTTGTAATTCTTTTTCATATGGCAATGCTTGGTGATGCAACATTAGATTCAATTAAAAAAACTTTCAGGACAAAATCTAAATGATACTGAAGTTTTCAAAAAATAATCCAAATGAAAATCAAGCATGATTGATTAACTGATTATGAGAAAGCCTGAGACGGCTGGCTGTCTGAAATCATTATTTTATTGCTTTCTCCATTCTTCTAGGCACCAATTCAGATCTCTTGAATAAGTTCTCAGTCATCCATAACACACATAATCAGTTTTTTAATCTATCTACTGTCTTACCACTGGTTGAGTAATTAATACCATTGGGCATTGGTAGTTCAGCCTGCTTCAAAACCAGGCAAATAGGCTAGTTGCGTGGCTGTTTTTCATAGCTTTCTCCACTTTATATCATGAATATAAGTCAGTTTTCCATGAAAGAATCACTCTCTTTTTAGGCAGAGAGTTATTGCTTTTTTACATTCAAATAACTAATATATCTGCTTTCCACATGAGCAATATCTTAATAAATCTTTCCTATTGCTGTCCTAAAATAGTTCCCTGATTTTCAGAATAAAACTGAAACAGCAATAAAGGAAATGCAACTACACTGAGATCTTGCAACTCATGGTTCTGTGAGATAAGCAATTTCAACATGCATAATTTGTATAAATTTTAGATTCCTAATTTCTTCAAAAATTAATAAAACATTAAAAATATATTCCAGGTACTTTTCTCTTTTTCCTGATGTTAAGGTTTCCGAAAGTTGATTATTTTACAGTCCAATAAAAATTCTAACTTATCTTAGGCTAACTTGTGCCAATAAATTTCACTTTTAAATAAAAGAACTCATCTCTCATCATTGTCTCTTTATCAGTAGTTTTAAACAGAGACTCAGTTTTATACAAACTTGAGGTAGTGAAGCTTTGCCTTCTTTAGCTTCAAAAGTCACATTTTCCTCACTAGGTGAAATATTTTTATGGAGAAATAAATTTTTCATGATGCTCTTCACTCAGCTATTTCATACGCCTTCTTCCCCACCAAAAAAATATGAGGGTTGGAACTTTAATACAGTCAAAAGTCATTAATCCGGACTCGTTGGGACTTCGGCGATTTCGGATTATTGATTTTTCCGGATTATAGATCATCAGTTTAAATCTGGTAAGATGGCATGCAGAAATTATAAAATTAAAAATATGAAACCGTAATTTATGAAATAAAGAACAATTATGATCTAAAGGGTATCAAAATTTGCAAAAAGAAAGAGCTTAATATTTATTTGTTTACTTTATTAAACATTTCTTTCAATGTAAGCTGTTTAAGTTTTGCTTCGTTTCATGTGATAATACTTTCTCTTTAATTCTATTAAAGAATCAGACAAGAAATTATGTCTATTAAACAGACATAATTTCTTGTTCAGTTACAAAGTTCCGCTGTTCAAGTCCTATAATTGCTGTGTCGAGAACACCGACTAATTTGTCAATCGAAATTTTTTCGTTTTCACTAACCTCTGTCACTTTCTTCGCTATCGGAAGCGAATTATAATGACGAGGAACTTGTTTTAAATCACATCAAAGACGGAGCACATCGAGATGAAATACTAATTTGGTAAGGAATTATAAGCCAAATAAAATAAAAACATCTGCCCTGAAGCTGAAGATAAGGATAGTGCTGACAGATAACTTCCAATTCATTACGCGCCCCGCTGCGGCGTTTCCCCCCGCCGAGCAGCGTGAAATTGATAAACAGATTTCAGATTTCAAAACAATACTTTCGCTTTAGATCCTTACATATTAACAAATATATATCGGAAATTCTATTTGATATAATCGAAAGTTTAAGCTTACTTTTATAAAATTGCTCTTACAGTCTGCAAAAAATAATAAGCCGGATTCAATTCGAAAATTAAGGAACAACGCAATCATCAACATTAACTGAAATAGATAATTAGATCATTTTAGCTTATACGTCCATTATACATAAAACGCGCACGCGAAAACGTATTCTGCACTTGCACACACTCATATGCGCAGTCATAAAAGGTCTTACGTGCACGCGTAAACGCCTATGCGCATGTGTCAACGCGGCGCATGCGCAGAAAGTTTTTAGTTTTGAGGTCCGGATTATAGATCATTCCGAATTATGGGTGTCCGAATTAACTACTTTTGACTGTAGTGGCAAAACAGCTGAAAAAATGCTACGCAACAAAACCAAAGAATATCGCGTATACCACACGTAAACTACATACCTACCTTACCTCTCAGCAAAAAGACTCGTCCTGCCTACGTCAACGCGGGGAGTGACGCAAAAGAACCTCCTGTATTCTTCGCCTAAAGTATTGTTATCAGGATGTTTTCAAAACAAGAAACCGATGTTGGATAAAAATTGAATGTGCCAGAGGTCGTACAGCACGACAGTGTCATCAAGGGCTTCAAGAGGCTTGTGGGGAATCTGCATTGCTTTACAGAACCATAGCAAGATGGGTGAAAGCATTCAATGAAGGACGCCAAAACGTGGCAGACATGCTGTGGCCAGGTCGTCTGAGTGTCAGCGATGCAGACGTGCAAGCTGTTGCCGCACTAATGGACAGTGATCGCCGTTAAACGATTCGTCAGCTGGCCGGACAATTAGCGCACACGACTGTGCTGCACATTCTGAAAGAACGCCTGTCCATGAGAAAAATTGCTTCACAGGGTTCCACATCAATTGACGAAATGCAGAAATGGCTATGATACAGGCTGCCCGAACCCACCTGGAGTGATATGAGCGTGAGGAGATGCTTTTTTTACGCCGTATCATTACGCTGGATTAGACTTGGGCCCGATCGTACCAGCCAAACTGAAAGCCAATCAAACGAATGGCGTCATCACGGGTCACAATGACGCTCGAAATTTCGTCAGAACCCCAGCAATGTGAAAGTTATGGTGATTCTCGTGTACGACTGTGATGGTGTCATCCTAACACATACCGTTCCCCCACAGCAGACCATCACTGCGCAGTATTACTGCTCATTTTTGGAGCACAATCTCCGACCAGCTTTGAGAAAAAAAATGGCGACACTTTCTGCAGAACACTCTTCTTATTTTGCATGACAATGCTCGGCCACATGCAGCGCAAGCTGTGACTGACTTGTTCAAGCGATGGGGCTGGGAAGTGCTTTACCATGCACCATACTCCTCAGATCTAAGCCCTTGTGACTATGACTTAATTCCTAAGATGAAGGAACACTTTGTGGCACTCACTTCCAAACTGTTCCTGAGATTTTTGTGGCAGTAGACCGGTCCATTCAAACTATCAACAAAACAGGCGCTGCTACAGGTATTCTGCGATTTCCACATCGTTGGAAACGGGTTGCACACAATGTTGGCAACTATATTGAAGGAATTGTAAAACATGGTGACATGAATCACTTTTGTATTCCTTGTAAATAAATAGTTGCCACTATTAAAGTTCCAACCCTCATATATAGCCTACTTGAAATCTTATCAGAGTAATTTTACAGCTTTATGATAATGACAGAGATTTTACTAATAGCCTGTTATACAGTATATATTAAGAAAATATTCCGATATCATGATAAGTCTGCATCATGTTTAAACTACAAGCTGTAAGAATAAAAGAGTATTCACTCATTAAAAGATAAACCTTTTTTTAAAAAATAATTAAGGATTTTACTGTGAGGAAATCAAAATTTAGAAAACAATTAAAAACACTAATGAATGTACAAAAGCTATTAACTGTAAGAATTAGATGGAATAAGCTAAACGAGAAACTGTTGGCAAAGAAAGAGAAAGAAAACTGTTGGCTAATCCATCATAAATGACACTGTTGCACCTGTAATTCACTGTGTTAATAATTATTGCAAGGTATTTTAAAAAAGTATTTCACAGAAACATTATTTGTATGAATGTTTTGTACTCCCTTGTTGTAGGCATAAAATTTGATTTGGTACTCCCTTGTTAAAGAAGCCTCTGTGCTTAATCCTCCAAACTAGCAACTTGTAGTCACCCAATCTGTAAGGCATATCTTTAACAGATCTTGCCAAAGATTTATGTGGTGGACAATTTAACAAAGAAAGTGGTATTTTTATTCTTTATATATCACAGACTAAAGGCCTCTTCAATTAATTTCTAACATACTTAGATTATGCAATATTTAGTCATTCCTTTTGGATAACTCAAATATTTAATTGCATAAAAGTTATAATTAATAACAATATTCATTTATTTAATAAATTACATTATTTTCTATGTATCATTTTAAATTTTTTGATCATCAGTAATAAGTTTTACCTTCTACCTGCAGTTCTTTTTCCTTATGCAGAGGGTGTCACACATTTTTTAAACAATTCTAATTCTATTTACATAATCTATTACATAATAGTATTGAAATGTTCTATTTGATAACCCTTATTCTTCACTAAATTTTAAGACCATTCCAAGCATTTTGTAGATTGGAAGAGGTATTTTATCCCATTCATCTTGAACAGTATTCCAAAGTCCAAGGAGGGTTGCAGGTCTATGTTTGGACAATCCACTTTCCAAAAGTTCAAACACTAAAAATCCGCAGGTTATACATCCGATTTAGTAGATATGAGTAAAGGGCATGGGCTTGCTTTCGTTGCTTGTTACATTTTTTTTCCAGGAAATTAACAGTGGATTTTTACATGTGGCTGCTTGCTTTATGGTGATACAGTTGTACTGCCTCATGGCACTGTGGGTAAAAAGAAAAGTATTTCATATTTGAAAATTGGGTATAAAGTATGCTCGTGATAATAAGTGAAGTTTATCTTAAAATTTTTTCCACTCTTTTTATTTTTAATTTGCCGTTATATGAAAAACCAACGAAATCCCTTGGATCAATTGTGATAACATTTTTACATTTTTGTCTGGATAAATCTTTCTCATAAAGGATTTTTCAGTATGTTTTGCAGTGATATGTTGTGGAGCAAGATGATGCATATTATGTTCTTATGCTTTCTTAATATTAAAATCAGCATTAATGACTTTGTTTAGTTTGTAGAGTCATTAGGTTTATTGGAAGCAGAAAAGATGAAAAATATGCAACCGCCTTCGCCGGGAATCAAACCACGGACCTTTGGAATACCGGCCCAGCGTGCTACCGTTACACCACAAAGGCATGCTAGGAAAGTGGAAGAAATACCTTATAAGTTGACACTGAGCATTTTAATGATTTTACAACTGTCTTTTGACTTGACAGATTTTCGTTTAACATTACAGATCTCACTTTTGCAACATTCAAAACGTTCCATTTTTAACTTGGATATGTATTGGGGCAATTTTTCAACCTATTGCCAACGTTGACATTTTATTTTCCAAGCCAACTTTGACATTTTTTTCCTTTCTTATTGACAATATTACCTATTATAGCTTTAGATATAAAACTTTCACAACTTTTTTTAATAATTAGATGCAAATAATCTTCTTCAGAAAGAGCACAAACCTAGCCTTCAATTGACTGCTTCTTTACAAGTATCATTTTGCATGAAAGCCAAAGTGTCAGATAGAAGACGATAATTTATATTTTCAAAAATATGCAGTTAAAAATATTTTAAGCTGATGACTTTTTTTTTTTTGATAGCAAAGCAAAAGCATCTAAAAAATGTGCGAACAGCCTCCCTGTAACATCATATTTCTAGAGAAGAATATGTTTTTAAATACATATGCAAATTTCTGCAAAAATTAGATGAGAATTATTTATGTTATTTAGAATTAAGAAAGCAAAGAGGAAGTGCACACATTCTAACTTTCAGTTTCATCATAAACATACAGTCATTAACCAAAAATACTAGCATTCAAAGAATTCGCATATATATCTGCAATTTTAAAATGTAAACAAGAATAATTTATTTAAATTAATAATAGCATACAGAATACAATAATCTGCATAAGAAATACAATAATAATGCAAAATATATGCTTAATAATAATAAAGAAAATTTATGCTGTGGAAAGACAGAAAAATATCACATAATAACAACTGCACCTTTGTTTCTTATCAAACTCTACAGCATATGTGTATAACTGCACATAAGGTCTTATGTCATTCAGTAAGGACATGCGGAGAGGATATGATGTTATTTCCCATCCAAAGGCCTCTTCTTCAGTGTTAAAAGATTCAATAGTTTTCTCTGCATTACTCAACCATTCTTCTATATCTGTTGCATGCCTCAAATACTTCTCCACAAGTTTTGTGTCACCTAAATTTGCTAAATTATTAATCTGCTTTGAATAGTTTCCAAGATCATCAGAAAATGCTTTTCTTCTTTCCTAAGAGGAAAAATAAATTGAATATCTAATGAATAAACTAAGAATTTTGAAACGCATGCTGGTTATTTTTTATACAATTTATAAAAATTTATTTTATGCATATGTTAAAATTTAATATTTTATAGCCTATATTTATCTATAATACACTGTGTTACCTGTAAATATTTATAATCTGTAAATATTTATTTAAAACCTGTAACTATTTATAATCTGTATATATTTTATAACCATATTCAAACATAAAAATTGCACAATTCACACTCTATGTTAATTATTAAATTATAACTTACTGATACATCTAAGTGATTTAAATGCATTAAATCCATTTAATTTGGTTTGATTTGTTTGATCATAGCAAAGCATGCGAGCACTGTTTGCCTATGGTCCTTCATGAAGACACCACTTTCTTTATTTGCTTAAGGAAAGAGATGCTTTTATGAAGGACTTTCTGACAGAACCTGTCTCTATACATGGAGAGTGTTCAATTCTGATAAGCCAAAATTCCATTTAGTTACACATAGTAAAAATAATGTGACAAAATTTATAACATTGATAAAGAGCATAATTTAAATCCTAATATGCCAGGACTCTAAAAATTAAGTTTCTAAGAAAAATATCTATACAGAATAAATATATTTTTTATAATAATTTATATTATAATCAGAATATGGAAGAACTGATTTGTATTAAGAGCTCTCATCATTTTTCCTCCTTTCGGAATAAGATCAGAAATGAAACTATGTAGCAATATTTTACCGGTAACTGAAAATATTAAGTGACTAACAAAATTTTAATTTGAAAGTAAACTTTGTACATTAAACAAAATAAATTTAATAAAATACAAACACTACATAAAAGAATTACATGACAAAATTTATAAAAGTAACATAAAGAAATTTTCTCGGGGAGAAGGGGAAAAGCTATGCCCATGCAAAAATCCATCAAACTAAGGTTCGAGTTGTCAGTTTTTAAAAATTTGTTTTTAAATCATCTGCTAGAGTGGTGCTGAAGGAAATGAAGGCTGTTTTTAAGCATTTGGTTACATGGTTGCTGTACTAAGTTTTCATGAACTGCAGACAGAAATCATATGCATGTTCATTTAGTTTATGATGGCTTGCTTATTGCTTTACACAGTATAAATATAAATTTGGCTGGCTAATTATCTGAGCTATTGGCTGGCTTTCTGAGTCAGCTATCATTTGGCTGGCTTTCTGAGAAATATCTTGATTACAAGTTCACCGTCAGACTCTAACGACATTTGAAAGAAGAGTCCACATTGGATATTCCAATTTTGCGAGGGTTTTTTTTTTTTTCTTTTTTTTCTTATGGGAACCATAGGATCTTATTCTTTTGATGAAAACAGTTCAATAAGGTCTCATCATACTGGTATGATAATGTAGAGACATTAGGATGTTTCGAAGCTGGATATGTGAAAAATGAGCAATGCCCTCGCTGGGGCTTGAACCACAGACCTCTCGAATACCCGTCGAGCGTGCTGACTACTACACCACAAAGGCATGCTAAGAAGGTGGGAGAAATACCTCATATACTTTCCCTTTAAAAGGCCACTGGGGATTAGGGGACCCAATTGCCAAATCCTGGTGGTGGCAAATCATCATCCACCACCTTTCAGTTCAGGCGCCATTGTAGAAACATTAGGTTATTTCGAAGCTGAACGTGTGAAAAATTAGCAATGCTCTTGCCGGGACTCGAACCATGGACCTCTCGAATTCGCATCAAGCGTGCTGACCACTATACCAAGGAGGCATGCTAAGAAGAAAGAGAAATACCTTATAACCTAATACTTGATTAGGATTAGCAGGATCTGCAATATAATACAGTCAAAAGTCATTAATTCGGACACCCATAATTCGGAATGATCTATAATCCGGACCTCAAAGCTAAAAACTTTCTGCGCATGCTCCGCGTTGACACATGCGCATAGACATTTACGCATGCGCGTAAGACCTCTTACGACTGCGCATTTGCGTGTGCGCAAGTGCAGAATACGTTTTCACGTGCGCGTTTTATGTATAACGGACGGTGTACGCTAAAATTATCTAATTATCTATTTCAGTTAATGTTGATGATTGCGTTGTTCCTTAATTTTCGAATTGGATCCGGCTTATTATTTTTTGGAGACTGTAAGAGCAATACTAAAAAGTAACTTGAACTTTCGATTATGTCAAATAGAATTTTTGATTCTGGAGCTCCCAAAGGATCGTACAAAACGAAAGTATGTTTCGATGTCCATCAAACAAAAAGTGGAATTGCTGCAAAAAATGGATAAGACATGAAGAATGTGACAGAGAGGTTAGTGAAAACGAAAAAATTTGATTGACAAGTTAGTCGGTATTCTCGGCACAGCAATTAACGGGAACTTGAACAGCGGAACTTGTAAGTGAACAAAAAATTATGTCTGTTTATAGAATTAAAGAGAAAGTATTATCACATAAAATGAAACAACTTACATTGAAAGAAATGTTTAATAAGTAAACAAATAAATATTAAGCTTTTTTTTGTAAATTTTGATACCCTTTAGATCATAATTGTTCTTTATTTCATAAATACGGTTTCATTATTTTTATTTAGATTTCTGCATGCCATCTTACGCGATTTAAACTGATGATCTATAATCCGGAAAAATCGATAATCCGGAATCGCCGAAGTCCCGACGAGTCCGGATTAACGACTTTTGACTGTACATTGTGGGAGATCTGCTAGTAACAATGAGATAAGGAACTTCAAGTTTAGGCATAATTTTTTTACTTACCTTGTTTATAGCTCCACTTACTTGATTTATAGTTACCCAAATTTTGTTACCAGGCTATCTATCTCTTTTATCAAAGTATTACTTTCTTTTGTCTCATTTCTATTTGACATGTTCCCTGATTTGAGGTGCTTTCAGCTATGGCATAATTTTAGCAACAAAGTTGTCATTATCAACAAGTGCTCTTAAATCATGATTAACGTCATCTGTCATCTTAAGTTCTCTTTCACACTGCAAATAAGTAGTGCTGTGACCTGTTGTGTCACATTTTGCTGTATTCATTGCAAAACAAACCATGAGTAGTTTTTATTCCTAAGTATCATGAGCATCACTAACTAGTATGATTAGTCTGGGTATTAAATCTCTTCACTTCTTTCACTTAGATGGATTCGACTGAGGGTGATAAACAGGAAGAAGTTCTTGTTTAATTCCAAGAAAGTTTCAGATTTGCTCCATTACAGCATTAACAAACAGTGTGCCATTATCACTAATTAGTCTTCTGGGTAAGCCATAGCATAAGAAAACTTCTTCAATTAAGATTTTTGTACAATTTGTTGCAGTGGCATCTTCTAAGGTGAAGAGTTATATCCATTTCATACTGGTGACTTCGATAAGAAAAATCCATTTTTTTTCCAGTGGGGGTTTCTGAAGTGGGCCAAAGATGTCTATGGAAAATATCTGAAACCATTGTCCATATACGGCTGTTCTAAGCTATCCAGCAGGTATCTGGTTATTTGGTTTATACTGAATGCACTTAGCACACTTTTTCACATAGCCTGCAAATATTTTCTCATAGCAGGAAAGTAATATCTAGAGGCAATTTTATGAATTGTGCTTTCAGCTCCATAATGTTCTGCAGTGAGAAAAATGTGAAATTGCTGTAGGACTCATTCACACTCTTGACAAGAAGCCACTAACCGAGTTTTTTTGGAGTCCGTATCAGGAGAGTAACAACACAAAATTCCTTGATACATGAGATATCCTCAATTAATCCAATTTACATAATTTTCATCTCTTTTGCCACTCTCAAAACAGTATATAGTCTTCCTTACATCTAGTTGTGGTTTTTTAAAATTTCATTCATCTACACAGCAGTTTTCTTGGCCATGATTATAAACTGAATTGATGTCTTCCTTAATTATATTAGTAAGGGAAGTCAAAAGTTGCTACGTAAGAGTAAACTGGCTGAAAAAATTGGGAATTTTTTACAAAGACAATACAATTACGACTATTTCGGCAAGATAATAGATCTATGCAGTTGAAGTCCCACGATACTTTTCTGCATGCTAAATAATGATAACTTTTTATGATAAGATTATTTAACTGGTTTAAAATGTGCAACTTACAGTTAAACTTTCTTGAAACTTCTTTAATGAATTCTTGGCCACTAAAGAATTTTCTGCAATAACTTTCGGAAAATCTTTATGCATAATGAATATTTTTGCATGATGTTCAAGTTCTGATCTTGTAAAATTGAGTATTCCACACAGATAATATATCCAAGAGCTTAATAACTGCAATTTCTGCTTAAAAACATCTAATGGTTCTTGGATGAAACTCTTAACAAATTCCTGCAAGAAATTAAAATACAGAACCAACAAATATATTAATATTAATGAAAATTTACATACATAAAATGAACATTAGCGAAGATCTCAAAATGACTTTTATTTGTTTTTCAAATAAACAGGAATGAGAAAATAATTTCATGATAAATGGACCCAAGTAAAATATTTTTGCATAAAATCCTCATTCTTTATTATATGATGTCCAACTCTTTAATTTGTTCAAGATAACAAATATGTATTATAGATTTATTCATTAAAGCTCTTGTTGTATTTATTTACTGATGTTTTGCTTTTACTTTTTAAATAGAAAAACTGACTTTAGTTCAGGGTTCACAGTTCCAGAGGGCTTGCACAAGACTTGCTGGATACTACTGACATTGATCCTGAGTTTCTGAATACCATGCTGGATACTGAGCCTCTGAAAAATGTGAGATGAGTCATGGGTGTACGTTAATAAATAACCCAGAAACAAAAGCACAGTCATCACAATGAAACATACGAGGTCCCCAAGGCCAAAAAAAGTACAAGTGAGAAGCAAAATCAAGGTGATGCTAGCCATGTTCTTTGATATCCAAGGAACTGTGCATCACGAATACATGAATACGTAACGGAAGGACAAACAGTGACAAAAGAGTACCATGAAGAAGTTCTCCACTGAATCCTCCGCTGGATAGCAAAAAATTGACAGCCGCATCTCTTGTTCATTGCACCTGATACAAACTTTTTTGGCAAGCGTGTAATACCAGTCATTTGCCGACCTCCCAACTTCTCAGACATGGCACCTTGTGACCTTTGGTTCTGAAATTGAAGATAACACTGAAAGGATCCCGTTTACAGAGTAGAGATGAGAAAATACAGAATATGGTTGAATACCATTTCCAAAAGAGTTTTCAGCAGTGGAAGGAACGGTGGGCTAAGTGTGTATGGCACAAGGTGCTTACTTGGAAGAGGATTAAAGTCCCAGTCCCATCAATATTTTTTCCAGCCATAAATTTGGTACTTTTTAGAGAAACATCACATTTTTAGATTTTCAAATTATAATTAATTTCCATAATATGGTAATTTTTAAATTTGTAATTAAACAGAAATGCTAGCTCATTTGCAAAATATATTCAAACTTTATTACAAATGCTTATACTTACCAATTTAACCTGCTTAACAAATGCATAGTAATAATGCTTCTCGCCTAAACAAACATTTAAAATATCATATGCGATGAACACTCAAACTACTAAAGCAGTGGATCTGAAGTTTGAAAAGAGCAAGCACAATGTCACCATGTCAGCAGCACGATTTATAACAGTTACTGACAAATTTTATGCAAAGTTCTTCCAAACATAGTTAAAAAATAAAGAACATCATTTACTGCTTAATGGCTCTTTAATTATTGTTAATATAAAATCTTTGATGGCACTGACAATCAGAATGCTTAGAAACTTTTCACTGCATCCATTTCCATAACAGTATTTCTTGGGAGATGAAAAATTAAAACATCAATTTTGATAGTTATTTTCTATTAAGTGATCACCTCTACAGGAACGCAAAAATTACTTCGATCTGTAGGTGGTTGTCTTTAGGAAGTTCCAATATATAATTCCTAAGAACAGAAAAAGACAAACAGTAAATAATTTGGAATGATTATTGGTCTTTAATCAGAAAAGGCTGGTATTTTCAGAAAATCATGGGCTATGGGGGGCCCTGGCAGCTGCCAGCTGCTTACCCGGCTATGGAATCTAAAGGAATTGAAGGACTTTCAAGTCAGCATTGGAAAAGTCAGGACCATACATATGTTTTTTTATAGTCTAGCAATCGTGAAAAGGCGCATGGGGTAAAGCAGGTTGAGAACCATTGTATTAGATAAACTAAATAAAAATCATTTGCCTCCTCCATTATATAAACCAATTGGTCAATCAAATATAATTAAACAGAAAACTATTAGAATATATTAGTTTTTCTTTCAAATTCAGACAATAAACTCAATTTTTCTACACCTAGAAGCAAGAGTATCAATTAGAAAAAAAGGAAAAGAAAAAAATTCCAGATAATATAGGATATGCATGAATAATTGCATGCATGTTGTCTATAATGTAACTTCAGATACCTGAAATTCATACCGAAATAAAATACTGAATATATCTAGATCCCAGGAGTGTTGCTTGATTGTTAGCGAACCACACTTAGTTAAAATATTAGCAACAATAAAAATAGAGTTTATAAAAAGATGTAATCTTTTAAAGACAACATTTAAACTTAATTAACTAATATCAGACTTTGAAATCAGTATAATTTTAAGCTTGAATTATTTTACTGCTAAGCGCATATCAAAATAAAAAAATAGAATTTTTCATGAGCAAAATATTTAGACTTTATTTAAGATTTGTTTCTTTTGAAAGAAAAACTGATAGCAGAATATTTCCAAAAAATAGAAATCATGGTTTGATGATTAAAGTATAAATGTGTAAGATTGTGAATGCACAAAAATAAAATAAATCATCAATCAGTATTTTTATACTATCAATAAGTATTTTTAAAATGTGCATTGACTAGGATTATTCATTCATTTAAGATTAACTGCTGTTAAATAATAATGTAATTCATTTTATGTAATTTTGCCTGTAATCTGAAATAGAAAAATTTAAGAAAATATTTTAATACCTTGGCTTCAAAAAGCTCTCTTGTATCAGATGGGACATATTTCAATTTATTCATCGCAATTTCATATTCTTCACATAGACTAAGATTAAAAATGAAAAAAATAATAATAATATTGATATAACACAGTAATAATCAACATAAATTTAACAGTACCATAAGTACATTATTTGTTACTTAAGTATGAAAGTGATCATTTAAAAATATAATTCTCATTAATTTAGGAGTCAAACAACAAAAATCAGCGTTACATTTACAAATTTTCACAGGACTAGTTTTGATGGATTTACCGAGCCATCATCCTCAGCTGCAAAAGCTATCTTATCTCGTTCATTTATGCTTATGCAGCTGAGGATGATGTTTTGATAAAGCCATCGAAACTAGTCCTGTGAAAATTTGAAAATATAAAGCTCATTTTTGTTGTTTGACTTCTAAATTAATTCTTGTTTGACATGTTATTGTATCTGAATAATTTAATAATTCTCATAATTAGTAAGAAAAGCTTAGTAATATTGGGTCATTTATAAATATATTGATAATTATTAATAGCATAAGTAGCTACCAAAAAAATAGTTAATCATTATGAAAGTCTAGAATCTACTAAAACTATGTTATAAAAAAATCAAGTTTTATTTTAGGATGTATCTCATTTTAAATATTATAAGTTTTTTATATAGCACAAAGTCATTTATATAGCCTTTTACATAGCCCTTTTATATAGTGTAAAGTATCAACACACTTTTATCATTGCATTTTTATATACCTTCATTTCATTTTTGTAAGAATCACTATAAATGTTTTTCTATAAAATATACTATTCTTGATAGCATGATACTATATGCCATATAATATTATGAAGAACTAAAAAGAATATTTCAAGAACATGAATTAAAAACTCTAATAAGCATTTAAAAAGTTATGAACTTTTATAGATAATCAAGCATAACTGGTCAAAGAGAAATACAGTTTAGATATATAGAATTTTCTGATAAGCAGTCATAATGGTGCACAGGGCAAAAACTATCACGGTGAGTGTAAAAAATAAACGAAACATAAGAATAATAAAATACTGTTGATTTCATATTTTCAAAGGTGTATTGCTTATTATTTGTTTCACAGGTCATAAAATATTTGATGAGCCTTAGATTTAAATATTTTAATCTGTCTAATATACTTGCTACTTCCTTGTACAAAATACAGGAACTATTGTAATCGCAAAAAATTTCGGGTATCATATTTCAACAAAGGTATCCATTTTGACCTCAAATTCATCTGAACGATGTTTTTGCTTGACAGCTGTACATATGGACAGGATAAAGGACTTTTTTTTCCCAAAACAGATTATAAAATGGATTCAGTAGAGTTTTTTTTCATGACGTCTGTAGGTACATATGTATGTATCTCGCATAACTCAAACACGTTGAAATTTTATATATGGGAGTGCTATAACATATAATTGTACATATTCCTTTTTCATTTTAATTGGCCTGCCAGATGCATATAAATATATATACATATTGCCCCTCTGTTATCCGGTGCGGAGAGCACAGTATTTTTTATTCTTATATGTTGGTAAATTACGCATTTGTCCCCTTAAAAGTGATTGAATTATGCTGTTATTGTATTTTGGTTAAAGTTTTTTTGCCTTTAATTAATTTGCATGCAATAGTTACAGAATTATCAAAAGCTTAAAAAGTTTAAGTGCCCTAAGGCTGCCATTCAGCTATATATGAAACTCTTAGTAGAATAGTGAATTAAGGCAACTTCAACGTATTTTTGCAGTGTGACCAAATGTGAACTTTCAATGTTGTGCACCGAAAATTTTGTCTTGCTGCCAATGGCCAAATTGTTTAGTTTTCGCTTAGAAATTCTAATTTTAATTGCTAAAAAAAAATTTTTTTTAACTGTAATTTGGTGTTTTAGGCTTTTCTGTATTTTACAATTTTTAATGAAATTTTTATGTATTTTTGTTTTGTTAAGAAGAGAGATATGAATTTATTGAATTAGAAACATACCTTTAATGAATTTCAAGGAAATAAGTTTAAATAAAGTGCAGCAAAAAATGTGTTATAATTTAATATGCTATACAAGGAAGTCACATAGTGTCCACATCAGATACAGTACAAAGTCCTTAATCTGGACGTCCTTAATCCGGATCTCAAAGCTACAAACTTTCTCTGCGCATGCATAAACGCATAATGCGTTTACGCATGCGCATAATACATTTACGCATGTGCATATGCATTTACACATGCGCATAATACGTTTACGCATCCACGTTTAATGTATAACTGATGATATAAGCTAGGCTAAAATTATCTAATTATCTATTTCAGTTAAGGTTGCATGTTTTTCCTTAATCTTCTAATTGGATCTGGCTTATTTTTTGCAGACTGTTAGAGCAATTTTATAAAAAGCTTGAACTTTCGATTATGTCAAAAAGAGTTTCCGATTCTGGAGCTGCCAAAGGATCTACAAAGCGAAAGCATGTTTCGATGTCCATCAAACAAAAAGTGGAATTGCTGCAAAAAATGGATAAAGGCATGATGAAAGTGACAAAAAGGTTAGTGAAAATGAAAAAATTTTGATTGACAAGTTAGTCGGTATTCTCGGCACAGCAATTACAGGACTTGAACAGTGAAACTTTGTAACTGAACAAGAAATTATGCCTGTTTATAGAACTAAAGAGAAAGTATTAGCACATAAAACGAAGCAACTTAAACAACTTGCATTGAAAGAAATGTTTAATAAAGTAAACAAATAGATATTAAGCATTTTTTTTTGTAAATTTTGATACCCTTTAGATCATAATTGCTCTTTATTTCATAAATTACGGTTTCATATTTTTAATTATATAATTTCTACATGCCATCTTACCAGATTTAAATTGATGATCTATAATCCGGAATCGCTGTAGTCCCGACGAGTTCGGATTAAAGGCTTTGTACTGTATTTAAAATTCTGAATGGTTTAATGCCACAAAATAATACAAATTTCTAATAATTTTATTTATTTATTTTATCCAAGAACAACTATTTGGCATTTATAATTTTTTCCTTCAGATAGTTTAAGACTTGTTTTTTAAATTTATTCCCTTAAAATATTTAGTAATAAGAAAAGAAGATACTTAAAAGTTTTAGTTTTGAAGTTTAGGCTTAAAATTAGAGATAAAATAAGATAAATTAAGGGCAGATATGCTGAAATGGTCATTCAGTAGCATCAAACTTATATAAATCAAATGAAATGATGGAATAACTTGCACATTTATTTGTAATTTACTTTTGTTAAAACATTACTACAATTAAAAGTATAATTTAACAGGAATTTCGTAAATGGGAAAAGATAGATAAATAATGAAACTTAGCAATGATATTTGAAAAAAAAAAAAAAAAAAAAAAACATTTTTAATCTTTTGATGGCCAACAGTGAGCACAGTTTACATTCCAGTTATGCACCACATTGAGCGTACACATATTTATGATTAACAGATAGTGCACGCATTTTGGAAAAAAGAATTGCTTAATCTCACAACTGCTGAAGGGTTAATATATAAACAAGTTACTACAGAATGAAATAATTCTGCATTTTTGAAACTGTGACTTCAAAAATGAACTTTTGCTAATGGCTTTATTATCTTTTTTATTTTATGGTAATAGAAAAAACAAAGGATATAAGATTAATAAAGTTACAAAAAGTACTTTTTCAAGTAAGAGTTGCTCAGATTTATAAACAAAGTTATAATTATGTATGCCATTCAGGAACTAAAATAGTTTTTACAGACTTTTATAAATACTGTTAAGGTTTTTGAAAACAATGTACCTAACTATGTAACTTTCTATCATTTGCTTATAATAAAAATTCTCATTATGATAAAAAAATTAATGTTAATTATGCTAACATATATATACTATATGATGTCCCATTGTTTATATGTAAAATAATGTTCCAGTTACAATAAAAATGAAAATAGCTATTGCAAAGTGCTTTTTATGTGTTTATTTCCTCATAGACAAAATTATAAAATTTTAAAATGAATGCAAATAAATAAATAAAGTCAAATGCAAGAGAATTTTTTTAGTGTTAGTTTCCTTAAAATAATTTTGTGCTGCCCACAAATGCCGACATCTAACTATAATTTAGATAATAATTTAAAACTACACACTTTCTATAGTTACATCTCTTTCCATAAATTTATTACAAAAATGCATAAATGATGCTAATGTAAGAACATTAAAATAAATAATTTACATATTAATGCAATATGATTTTCAATTAAAATATATAATATACTTAAATAAGAATTAATTTCAAATGTTTACTTTGCAGTAAATTCTGCATGCTTTTCCTTCAGGTGTTTTATTAACTTTGTATATAATCCACTGACTGAAGAATAAAGGTTTTCAAAGAACTCTTCACAGTCAATAACAAACATGCCTCTTTCTACAATTTTTCCTCTTTTCAATTCAATTTCTTGCTTTAAGGATGTTAACGAATTAACTTTTGCCTCATATTCATCTAAAGAATGTTCACTTGCAAGGAAAGCATCTACTTCATCACTGGCCTTGGATGATCAAAAACAGAAATCAGAATGTATAATTTAATACATTTTTATTTACAGAAGACTGAAAATACATTAGTATTGGATTAAAAAATTAAGATTCTGGTATAAATATAGGCTAATGTTCAAGTTTATCTTTACATATTCAAAAATAATGATATACCATTAAATTTCCAATTGATATTATTCATTTTTGCATGGAATATGTGAAAGAAAAGCCTTATTGGCATTATCAAATCAAATCTGATCAAACGGCTTCAAATATGCAAATCAAGTCATTGTCATATGATGGTGATGTGTAAAGTGAATAAATCTGAATAAATTTCTGCAATACAGTGTTTGATTTCAGTGTGTATGGACCCAATTTGTTATAGCTGTGCAGTAACACCTAGTAGAATCTGTGAAGTGGCAAATTATTGGTAGTTTAGAAATAAGGCAGACAATCGTGGACACAGTGAGATGTGTGAATATTGCAAACACGACAGTCTCTACACTACGGAACAGTTGTAAGAAGACCTGGAAAAGGTTGTAAATGGACAACAACTGGTTCTCAAGATCGATATCTGACAAAAACTGCTCATCATAGCAGGAAATTTCCAGCCTATCAATTAAGTTCAGAGCTAATAGCCACAATGGAATTGTTGTATCACAGCAAACTGTATACAGAAGGCTTAATAAAAGAGGCCATTATGCCAGTAAGTCAAGGGTATGTGTTTGACTGTCTTCACAACAAAAGAGGGATCATTGTAATTGGTATGTAAAGATAATTTTGGACATGAGTGTGTGTGTGTGTATACATATATGCACACATTCATGTGCAGCATCCATCATCAGAAAAAATGCATACACACTTTCAACATATGGTATCTGTGTAGTGGTTTTGAATATGAAATTGAATTATATTTACAATTTGTAGTATCATGTTTGCTCAACACATGTTTACACTCTTCTGATTGTAATGTATGATGTATGATAGTGAATCAAAATGGCTTTAAGGGACTAGCTATGCTTTACTTTATCAAGACATTTCAGCAGCATTCTCCATGGGCACATTAGCCTATGCTGTTCAAGCAATCGTTCATCATTACACTTGGTGCCTGGTTGCTAATGGCCTACACTCTGATACTCTAAGCACCCTCAGTAACTGTAAAGGTACAAGTGAAGGAAGATTGTATTAAACCTAATATAATATGTATAATTATATTAGTTTAGAATAAAGTTCAGTATAAACACAGGATAGAGAACTTTTTTTCATGGATACAAGTGTGGATACATTTTTCTGATAGTCATATATTTAAGTCAACATTTTTGTGCATGTATGTTTGAAAAAGACTTTATACTGCTTAATGTGTCTGCACCAAATTTGTCATGAATATTCTTTGAGACCCCTGAAAAAAAAAAAAAAAAAAAAAAAATACTGTAGAATTTTAATGCCCCAGTTACCTCTAAATTTGAGAGCTATTTGAAAACTTTTAAAGCAACACTACTAGAAATATTCATAATTTTTAACATTGACAATACATTTTGGATTTACTGCATAGTGAAGCCTATGCGAAACACGAGCAACAGAACTAATGTTTAAGTAACAATAACATTCAGACAACAAAATATGAAACATTTGAGAATTTGGAATTGAAAAGTCTGAAAGACATATGATGACAGTCAAAAATCAGAAATAGTACTTAAAAATTTAAGTGATGATTGAACGGCAATTCTGAAATTTGTAGGGAAATATAAATATATTTTGATTTTGTTTCAGCAACTTCACCTTCTCTGGTGTTATCATATTCATGTTCCCTCAAATATTCATATGCTTTCATATCTTTTAAGCTGAATTAATTTTAAAATATTACTTATTGTGTATAGAATATATGTAAGCATAATATAAATATCTGCTTTCCTCTTAACTTAGTTAACTGAAAATTAATTTTAATAAGAAAAATAACAAAAACAACAATTTAATTTTTATTCAAGGAAAGAAAATGACAAGAAACTGTTAAGAGGTATGCTATCTTATTATTATTGTTTGATATTAATTAAGATAATGTACTGATATATTAAGAAATTTTTAGGAAAAATTAAATATTTTCTTTATCAACCTCGGAGACTCCTAGTAATTTAGTTCTAGTAAGCAAGCATATGTTTCACTTAAAATGGCAACATTATTTCAGATGTTTTTATTTTGTCTGCTGGCTATTTAATGCACTACAAATATTAGAAAGTACAACAAAACCTTGTTTACCTATAATCTATACCAATAAAAGTCCGATAAATGCCAGGCATAGGCAGCTAATTACATATACATAAAAAAAGAGCAAAATTTGATGCTTCCTCTACAAAACTAGAATTGTTAAAATGTAAAGATTTTTTTGATTAAATAATACACATATACAGAATTACACTGTAAACAACATGAAAAGATGTTATGTATTTGTTAAATATATCCAGTTAATGCTAAAAATGGGTGTTGCCTAGGTAACAGAGCAATGATTTGAATGATTTAAATTCTACATTCAAGCAAAATTTTAATTCTCACTTCGAATGGTAGCCACAGAAAATGAGAAACTAAGGACTGCTTGCAAATTTTCTTTGAAATAAAGGACAAAAAAAAAAAAAAAAAAAAAAAAAAAAAAAAAAAAACTAATGACTTTTAAGGACTCCATGAACCTTTATGCTGAGATGGTATATATTTGTCAATTGCACTAAGTTAATACCAAAAAAGTGTGCTGTATTGATAAAAGAGCATTGTAACTAACAGATTGCATTTGGATTGATACAGTTGTCTTGAGATTATTAATGCCAAATCAATTATTAATTATTAAAAATATTAATTATTAATAAATACCCATTTTTAATAACTGTGTTTTCAGATTTTACTTATAATGAAAATGTAACAGCCTGGTTAAAAACCCTAAACAGTAGGAATATGCAATGAAAGAAATTTCTTATTTCTTCTCCAATTATTTAATGTCTGAAGAGTCATTAAGTTAAAAAGACTTTTATACTATTGATGATGGAGAAATGAAAAATTAGCAATGCCCTCACCAAAATTCAAACCCGGACCTCTCGAATACGCGCTGAGTTACACCACGAAGGCATGCAGAAAGGAGAGAGAAAAATCTTATATACTCCCCCTTTTTAAAGGCAACAGGGGATTATGGGACTCAATTGCCAATTCCTGGTGGTGAAGAATCATCATCCACCACCTTTGAAAGGCCAACAGGCTAAGTTGGACCTTGACATTAATAGCAATTTTTGGCTGTTGTCGTTCGTGATTTTACAAGCCAGTGATTATCAACTGACATGTTAGCGTGACTTTGTTCACCTAGCATTTATCTATCTAGCATTTTATGGTATAAACATTTACATATTTCAACTAATTAACACTATAATGACATATGCATAATTTTTGGAGGCCTGTGATATTGGCTGGCATCTGAATAATGTAACTGTTCTTTCAGGAATTATCTGCCAGTGTCATACGAACATGACATCACTCAACCAGTGATTATGAACTGCTTTCACATATACAGGATGCAGTAAGCCATTGAATATCATCTGGTTTCACTTCAGTATGACTTCAATTGACATCAATTATCAGCCAGTGACACATGATTGATTTCAATCTGTCATCAGCTGGTGTATTTTAAGTATGCCTATTTTACCTATTCTACTAGATTAAATATATGATTTATTTGAAACCCTAATCTAATCTTTTGACATTTCTGTCTTAGGTTTGCAGTATATATACTTAAAATATTGTGTTATTAAATTGCTTTATGAAAAAATTAAGATTATTAATAGAGTTTAATTATGATTATCTAATTTCTTTCTGTAGGCTATTCTAATTTGAATATTAGGAACAAAAGTGCAAAAACAGCAAACAGCATGCAAAAAGAGCAAATCTGCACAAATGATGCTGACAATAGTAAGAGTCTGAGCATTATGAGCAAACAGTCAAAGTGTTAACACTGACAAAACAAGATGGAAGTAAGCAAAAAAACTTTCCCCCTGTTCTAACTAAAATGAATTTCTACTACAGAATTACATTACAAGAAAAAAAATTAACAAAACATATTATGCACATGTTTATAAGAGTTCTAATATCTTTTCAATGATTAGACACAATACAATTGCTTAATTATTAGTCTTCTAGTAGCATAAAAGTTAAAAAATTCTGTGAAAAAGAGATATTATTTTACTTCAAATCTGCAATTCAAACAATATATTAATATATTTTGATATACAAAACAAATATATTATACATTTTTTACAAAATATATTATTTGTTGGTAAACCAGAATTTCAAAAATCAAATTAACAACAGTATAAGAAATTAAGTTAAGAAAAAATTAAGACGGAGTCATTTTGCTAAATTTTGCATTTTTTTTAAGATCATAAATGAAAATATACAAATGCATTAATGAAAATTATTTTCAAATCCATACTGCAATTATAATAGTAAGTTGTATATTTTCAACAATGTTAATATGCCAGACACTATATACAAACAGAAGTAAGTAAATAAATAAATACTCATAAGCAATTAATGCACAACATTAAATTAATCTAAAATATAATTTAAGCAGAATTTTTAAACACTAGTTTAGAAGACTACTAGTTTATATTTTTGGGTTAATACAATTGTTTTCAGGTGTTATGATTGTTAGAGAAGCAAAATAATTTTATACTGAATATCTGTATGTTCCCAATAAAAGAAATGCTACGTCACATCCAAGTGTTATCAGATTGTAAGAAGAAATTATGTAACTCAAACTATCATACAACTTATTCTATACAATTATTTCAGAAGTTAACAAGCACTGTTAGTAATCTTCCACTGCAAGTATATTTGTTTTTAATCAGTTAACATTTCATCTTCAAGACATAGTTTTTTTACACAATATAAAAAAAAATATATTATAAAAATGGAAAAAGTTTATATTTCTTGAAAATTCATTCAAAACAATTAAATTCAAAGAGTGTGACTGGTTCCTCAAAAT